CCCAGGCTTCCCCCCGTCTCCCCGGCAGGGCCGCGGTGCTGTTGCTGACAGGCAGAAGCAGCAGGGCTGAGCCTGACGCCCTCCCCGTCGCGGCGATGCAGGTGGTGCAGGGGATGGGGAAGGAAACTTGCTTGGCTTTCAGAGCGGGACTTGAGCAACAGCGCAGCCTGTACCCATCTGAACTTCCCTTTTCCCCTCCAAGATATCTTAAGCTTTCTCATCCGGCTTGATCCGGATCTGACAGGGACTGGAGATGTCCAAACTGTGAAGCACTTGCATCTGTTGCAGGAAGGGAGTATCAACAGAGGAGGGATCTCCTCTAAACGTGATGCTGGTGCTGGCATTGCTCATAGAATCCCGGAGTGGGTTGGGGTGAAGGGAGCTTAAAGCTCCTCCAGCTCCAACCCCTGCCCCGGGCAGGGACACCTTCCACTAGAGCAGGTTGCTCCAAGCCCCTGTGTCCAACCTGCCCTTGAACACTGCCAGGGATGGGGCAGCCACATCCCTGGAGCCCATCTTCTCCCCACAAATCCAGCCCAGCAGTTTCAAAGAGCAACACAAGGCCTCAAAGCAGAAGTGCCCCTGTCTTAAAAGCACCTCAGCACCCTCTGCAAGAGCTGTTGCAGCATCAGCTCCCTCTCAGCCCCTGCTGTTGCACACAGCGGTTGCGTTAGGTTTTCCTCTGCCCTCACAGTGTCCCTTTGAGATGTCCCACTCTTGCTGTATCTCCTCTCGTTGCTGCTCCCTCGACCTGTTGGCCACAATCCTGCTGGTGGGCACCAGCTCCTGCGTGTATCCATCCCTATAGCACCAGCCTATAGGGCACAGCCTGTAGGAACCCAACCATCCAACCTGGACCATCAGCTAGATGTTCCTCAGCAGGACACAGACTGGACATTGCTTCTTGAACCAGTAGGTCACCTGTGGACCATTCTTGCCAGACACCCTGTGGCCAAGCATTTCACTTCCAAAATCATGCCCTGTGGGACGCACAAACCTTCATCCCCTCCCTGGGTCTTGTGGATACCTCTGCTGGGGGAAGGCTGGATTCAGGGCAGTGATGAGGGGATGGAGGAGCACGGGGTGGCTCAGAGTCTGCTGCTCACCCTGGTCCTTGGCAGGAGGAGCCGCATCCCTTGTGGTGACCGTGTCCATCTGCTCTGGTGTTCCCGGAGCAGGGTACTGCTGCGGTGAGGACACGCTGGGTCCATACCTCGCCCTGTCTGTGTCCTGGCAGGGAGCCTGGGCTGGATCTGATCCATCGTTCCTCACCCACCCCATTTCAGATGTCAGCTAAGAGCACGCAGGGTGCTGGTGTGGTGGGAGCCGGCCAGGTCACCCCCGGGCAGGCACCTCCCGTCCTCCCCCTCGGTGGCAGCTGGGCACCCGTGCGTGTGGTTCCTGCTCCAGGCTGGAGCTCACAGGGAGCACAGACACACACGGGCACTGGTGTGAGCTGAGGACAGGAGCCAAGCTGGCACTTGGCCACCATGGCTGGAGCCAGGACACGGCAGGAAGCTTGATGGCCAAAGTCTCCTGTGGGATAAAGGGTTTGGAAGGGCAGCTGTGGCTGATAGCGAGCCCCAGAGACCAGGCAAGGGTGTCCCAGCACCAGCATCCAGGTAGGTGGCAGCCACAGGGATGCTGGAAACACCAAGGCTGGAGCTGGGATGCTGCTGGAGACTTACACACACCTTAATGGGTGAGTAAATCTATTTCCTCCTGACAAAATGTGCCGCTGAGGAGAGGAACAGAGGAAGAAGTTGCTGAGAGAGCTGGGCTGGGGCAGCTGGAGAAGAGAAGGCTCCTGAAGGGGACACCTTAGAGCAGCTCCAGGGCCTAAAGGGGCTCCAGGAGACCTGGAGAGGGGCTTGGGACAAGGGATGTAGGGACAGGCCAAGGGGAATGGCTTGAACCTGCCAGAGGGGAGACTGAGATGAGCTCTGAGGCAGAAGCTCTTCCCTGGGAGGGTGCTGAGGCGCTGGCACAGGGTGCCCAGAGGAGCTGTGGCTGCCCCATCCCTGGCAGTGTTCAAGGCCAGGTTGGACACAGGGGCTTGGAGCAACCTGCTCTAGTGGAAGGTGTCCCTGCCCGGGGCAGGGGTTGGAGCTGGAGGAGCTTTCAGGTCCCTTCAACCCAAACCACCCCATGATGTGATGAACAAACCTGCTCTTGGATTGCATTTGACTTGCCAGGGTGGGACAGAGCAGCAGAGAGGGGCGAGATCCTCCATACCCCATCACCTCAACTGGGCTCCGTGTGACAGGACACCCCAGGCCTGGTCCTTGTCCCCTGTCCCGAGCCAACAGACGTGTCCAGGCACTGGGACTGTTTCTTTATTCTATTTCTTTTGTCCTTCTGAGTTTAATAAACTAGAATAATTTATTTGACAGACACAGAAACATCACAGAGACGTGGAGGGCCCGAGGAGCAGTTACCCAGAACAGTACAAAGGAACCACTTACAAAAGAAGTACCACGCTGCCCATCAGCTTTACCCCAAAAATCACAGGGGGGAAGCTCAACTCTGCCCCCACCCCCCCATCCAGAGGGATGGAGCCATCCCCATGGATTGCTCTCCGATGCCAACGCTGACCGCAACGGCACAATAAATAATGGGAATGGTCTCTTGGTTGGTGGTGGGAGACCCAAGACCCTGGTGAGGGTCCTTGGGGTGGGCTGGGTGCTGGTTCCCAGCAAGGATGGGCACGAGCACCCGGTGACACACTGGTTAAGGTGGCAAATGCTGTGTGCCCCTTCCCTCCCCATCCCCAAATAGGTGCTTGACCCCATGCAGGCACAGACAGGGGGAAACATGGACCAGGGGAGCTTGGCAG